CAGTATGACAATATTGTGGCCCTAGCAAAAACACAATATGTAAGTGTCCTTAAAATGAACAAAGTTGCTAAGGTAACAGCAGTGCTAAGTAAACACACTTTGAAGTACCAGTAGGGACCCACTTTACTCAACAGTATCATTACTTTGTGCCCTTTGAGCCCTAAGGATCCTCAACTTCTGTAAAAATTAAGGATTAGGGCCTGCTCCCCCGTGAAAAACATTCTGTCATTTAATTGTCAGGTGCCAGAATGCAAAACAGAAGTCAAAACCCCTTATGCAGCCTGGGCATAGTGTTTAAGCGACCCCACAGGGATAGAGCTGACTAGGACTCCAATGACTTCAGTATTTTCTTAAAATCTATCTCCAGTTAAAATAGAAAAACATCCCTTGCAGTGGGGCAACTTCGAAGTGCAAGGGGTTAACTGCTTGTTTTTGTCAGGGGGGATTCTGTAAAGCACTTTTACGCTCCTGATTCCCGCTTCCACTGGCCCCACGACCGCCGCCTGAAGCCTCCACCTCCCTCTGCTCTACGGAGCCAGAGGCTTGCTGACATCATCACATCTAATGCATGGCCATAGCGCTGCATTGTGCGTGAGCACCCTGAGGGACAGTCCACAACTTGGAGCACAGGGGAGAGCGGTGAGCACCCAATGCCATGGGAGAGGGGGATCAGGGAAGTAAAAATCTGTTTTTTTGCAGAGTAACCGGTAAGTGTGCTGGGAATTTTTGTGTCTTGTATGCTGTAAGACTTTTTATGTGCAGCTTGCTATGAAGGTTAGTAATAAATTGTGCGGTTGCCATCTTTGTTTAGCTTGAATGTATTTGGTGTAGGGTCACACTGGAGGCTACAGCGTACGCTTTGAAGTGCTGGGCTTCTGGTGTATCCCCATGCCCTAAGAAGGTTGGGCTGCCTCCTGGTGAACCTGCACCCAATTCATCCTTTGCTAAATATGCTCCAATATGGAGGCTCTCATAGATTAGAATTAGGACCACACTACACAGAGGGGCCTTGATGAGGCAGTGTGGCTTCCACATATTTTGCAAAAGTTGTGCAACTAAAACCTCTGTTTTTTAAGCATATTGTCAGACAGTGTAATTAGCTGGTAATTGTGCTGGGAATTTTTGTGTCTTGTACAGTTTTACCTAACAAACTATAGTGTTGCCAAGTTTTGTTTTGTTTTTGGATGAAGATGAGATTTCAGTTATCTGTAATAATAAAGGATACAATGCCAATGTACATTTTGCTGATATACCAAGAATCAGACTACAGATGTAGTGCAGTCCCCCTCAAAGAGGACCTTTACCCATATGTTAAAAATAACAACAAAAGCACCTTTAGAAATGTTTAATAATGATGATCTACAAACACATACTTCCAGACCAACGGAAGCCAAACACCGGCCAGCTAGCTGTGGTAAAACTACAAATCCCATGATGCATCTCTCCAGGAGTCATTCCTGTGGCTGTGAGAATCTTGCAATGCCTCATGGGATTTGTAGTTCCACCACAGCTGGAGGGTCAGAGTTTTGCTACCCCTGTTCTAGACAATTGTAGGATTTTTATTCTTTGCATACCTTATTTTTTTCCCCTCAATTTTCTGACAGTGGCCATTTTTACTAGGGGCAGATTACTGCATCCCCCTTTACTTCCGGGAACTCTGGCACATGTGACTAGGACATGTGACCATGCACATCATCTCATCAATCTTGTGAGATTACAGCTAAAATTTCCCAGCAATGCACTGATGTAACCTTTCCAGGATGCATTGCTTGGGCACGATGACAGCATGTGTGCCAAAAGTAGACCAGGAAGTGGATGAACTCTGTTTAACTAATGAATGTAATATGATTTTATATCAGTATATATGTATCTGTTTATAATTAGTGAAAGGGAGTAAAGGTCCACTTTAACACTGGCCAGATTTCCACTGCACTGGTCAGTGTACATCCAAGTTCAACTGTCCCATTCATCTTTTTGGAACTTGCAGTCATGGTCTCACACTGGGAAATCTGGGCAGTGTAAAGGGGGCCATGCTGCACGCTGATTTTTCTGTATACTAGCTAGAGGAAGGCAGGGGATGTTCAGGTTTTATAGAGGACACTGAACAATATACCATACATCCATATGGGGGGGGGTAGCAGATTTATAATACAAATCTGGAATAAAGGAAATAGATGGCCATGGCCGCACATATTCCTGTTCTTGTTCTTATTATCTCTGTATTTATACACAACTTCCTGGATGTTGACATCTCTGTGTCCAGCCCCCACCCATACCAACTACCAAACCTGAATGGATTGTTTATGTAGACTCTCATACTACATATCTGTAGGTAAACTAAAAATAAGATTGCACAATTAGACGGAAACGAGCACGTTCACCAAAGCAATCGTTCCTCTACAAAGTAATCAAATCTGAGCCTACCTGTCCAGAAAAAAAAACAGAACACTACAAGCTTGTATCTAAACTCTGGACTAAAACGTCATCCTTATATTTTTGTAAGGTGAATGATTGAATAATGAGAAAACATTTATCTGCTTGTGTAAACAATTACCAATGTATTGCAGCCAAAGTTATAAACAGATAACAACGTTAAAGGAGAACTATGAGGTGAGTGATTTTCACTCAGCTTCATAGACTGTCACAGGTCAGATCTATTGATCGGGAAGTCAGCGAACACTTACCGATGATCGTCTCCCTGCAGAGAGCCGTGATCACCCATCACCACTCCCCTCTCCGATCCTCCGGCGCTGACTAGAGGAATGGACGGGGAAGGGGGCGGGCACAGCTGGCTCTGCCCCTAGATAGGCAGAGTCCATTGTCAATCAGCCAACTGGGTGGATCCAGACAGTATTGTCGGAATCCGTCCCGGCTGCGGCGCTCTCAGTATATAGCCCGCTATATACTGAGCTTTGGGTCACGTGAGGAGGTTAGTACATGTCCTCCCGGGACCTTAAAGAGAACTATGGGATAAAAAGATTACCCCATAGTCCTCTTTTACAAATACAAAAAACAAATACAAACATATGATGTTTTACAGCTAGTCATGAGTTAGGCTGGCCATAAACTGTTAGGATTTCGGCCGATTCACAGGAATTGGAGAGATCTCTAAAGGTGGCCATACACTCTACAACCATCGCAAGACTTTAGTCTTGCGATGGTTGTACAGGGATTTAAAAAAACGTACGGTCTGCCTATCTTGGACAGGCAGATCGCACTCTCGATCATCGCAAGCCCGCCCCCCTGAGGGGCGGGCTTCCGATGACCGCAATGCCGAACGGGCAGTGTGCGCGTGCGCACACCGGCCCATTCGGCATTTGTCTTCCCAGCACCGTTCTAACCAGCCGAGAATCGTACGATTCCCGGCTGGTTTTCGAACATGCTGGTTCGACAGAAGACGTGCGACCGTACAGTAGAAACGGTCGCACGTCTCCGTTCACACTGCTCGATTATCGTACAAAAAAACGATCGCATACGATTATCGCACGATAATCGTGCAGTGCATGGGCACCTTTACAGTGGGTGGCCCTGTCGGCTCAACAAAAGTCAATTGGTCAAACGAGCAAAGTTTTCGGCTGAACACTGACTGCAGCCTATTCGCTGTAATCACGGTTTGTGTTTGGGTATTCTGAAAGCGACAGACGGGCTGTCAGTATACAATTGCTGCAAGGGGGAGATTTAGCCATTTGCGCTGTTTTGTGCGGATGGTGAAATCCGTAAGCCTACCTGTCAGACCTGTCGCACCATAAGCCTTCCTGTCAGACCTGTCACACCATAAGCCTACCTGTCAGACCTGTCACATCCTAGCTAGCCCACATGCTAAGGGCCTGTTCACACCACATGCATTGGAGTTGCACTGGTCGCTTTTTCCAGCGCAGTCCCAAAACACAGACAAGGCAATTTGCCATGTTTTTAGCATGCAGTTTACGTATGTTTAGTATACACAGTGTCACAGTGGTGTGCGCTGGAAAAAAAAAGCACCGTATTACTTCTTTTGGCGCAGCTTGATGCAAAGTACTACAGCCACAGCACACCACACTGTGCCGATGGAACTTCATGAAATGTTGAAAGTGACATTTATAATCCCCCCTCCCACCCGCAAAAAAAGGAGGAACCAGTGCAATGCATCAGGATTGGTGCATCAGTAAATACGAACAATTTCAAAATGTAGTAGATCCCATCGCACTCCTGACCGGATAAAGCCCAAGCGAAAACGTCCCAAAACATCGCTTTGTGTACGTGACATCATGTTCAGTCAATAAAGGAGATTGACTGCTATCTATAAACGGAGTGTGAGTGACTTTATGGTATTTTGCTGGTGCGGACAGACCCGAAAACTCTGCATTTTAGTGTGTGGGCTAGTGTGAACTTGTCCTTAGTGCCTGGCCAGATTTAGCAATAGCAGTAGTACAGGGACTTCAAGGGAGAGAAGTGCTAGACGCTGCTGGTCAGCCAGGAAACATAGCGGGGACAGTGACATCAGAATAAGCAATTTCAGCACAGGAAAGGAGCCTATACAGACTGAAGGTAAGTGTGAAAAAACACAAAATGAACACAAACAACTAGGCAGGCCCTGCCCACAAGAGCTGACAATCTACCAGATAAAAAAGGGAAGAGGGGCGAGACATGACAAATAAAAACAAAGGCGTGACGCATTGACACATTTAAACGTACAAGGCTTTCTGCAGATTGGGACATGAGCAAAATATAAGCAAGCACAACCAAGTAAAGGCTGATTCTGTAACCCCACCCATACACATGCCAACATAGGATCACCCCTAGCGCATGGAATAATCACACTACAATCACAATGTAAACACACAGGCTGACGTGGTAAAGGTACATTCACTGAACATAGCACCAATGGAGAGCTTTAGCCAGAACATAATTTGCTCTCTGCACACAGCAACCCCTCTGTCTGCCCTTACCAGGACAATATAGGTGGAAGTTAAGTTCTCCATAGGATATGACATATAGTGATAGGTGTTCATATACATTACCTGAGCAGGCTGCTTAGCGGGTGACTAGCAGACCCTCCTCCAGATACTCCAGCTCCGCCCCCTGTAGCTCCTCCTGGACCGGCCCCACTTAGCCGCTTCCCCCCTAACAACCTCTCTACCGCCACCCGGTTACCGGTGCGAGCGGCCTCCAGCAGCTCCTGCTCTTTCCCCATCCCGCCGTCACCCCGGCAACCACGCCTCCGCCTCCACTTCCGAGACGAGCGTGCACACGTCATACGCACATTCCACAAGCCCTTAATCCAGTCTTGCATCCTGGCTGCGTACTGCCGTGACACGCATGCTTGCCATCGCTTCCTCCGACATTAGTCCGTCCCTGCTAGTGTTCCAATAAAGTTTTTCAAATAGGTAGTAAGAAAAAAAAACGAAAAAAAAAAACTGTGCGCGGTGCTAGTCTCGCTGCACGTTCTTTTAGGGTTCCTTCACACTAAAACTGCTAGATTTCTGTGTGAACATTCTTACGAAAATCTCAACAAAACATGTCATGGCATCAGAATTTTAACTAACGTCGTTTGAAATTTCATTTGATTTGGACATTTCTTGTTGGAATTTATATAATTTCTTAAACAAAAAACACATTGGGGGGAATTTATCAAAACTGGAGCAGCTGTGCATGGCAACCAATCAGCTTCTCTCTTTCGTTTTCAAATCTTAACTGAACAAACTGAAGAGAGAAGCTGATTGGTTGCCGTGGACAACTCCAGTTTTTGCTCCAGTTTTGATCAATTCTCTTCGATTCACTATTAGAATTTCATTTATTTGATAAAAACTGCAGCATCCTCTTTATTTTTCTGTTACAACTGTCGATTTGACCGCATTAAAGCTAGACCAACTTTCGTACAAAAAAAGCTAATTAAAACATTCAATAATGGCAATTTCTTTTTGCCATATTCACCCTTTTTTCACAGAGCATCAGACGGCGCCGTATGTCACTGTAGAGTAATAGTGTAGTGTAACTTTGTAAACTCTCAATAAAGTTAAAAAGATGTAAAAGGAAAATTTAACAGAAAAAGCAGTACGGTTTTCATGGCAGCAGAAACCTTGACATAAGATGTCAGGGGCAACCAAAATTAAGATAGGGGCTACTGCCCCCCCTGAAAATAGTCTCAACTGTGATATTTACATATGAACGGGTGGCGCTATTTACATATGAAGAAGCCACGACTCATTTGCCCCAAAAAATGTCTGCTCGTTGCTAAAGTATTCAGGTTTCACTTGAAGAAAAGGTGGTAACCCTAATTACACCATGTGATGTGATAAACAGCGCAACCACCCACCTCCCCATGACATTCACACAGACACTAGCCCACACACTAAATCGCAACATTTTAGCATGCAAGCTAAACAAGCCCTTAAAGTTTTCATTTTTAAAATGCGTTTATGTAAAGCTTGCCAGGTTTTCGTGCATTCCTTGCTTGATCAATCCTCCCAAAAGTATGGGCACTGTGCAAGCCATTTGTAGGTGATAACACATTACATTTGTTGAAAAGGTAAGTTCATCTTTTTACAAAATGTGAAAAATTTACTTAGAGAATACGATTATCCTTACCTGAGAGTTACATGCAGATTAGCTGCGAATCATCTGAGGAATTTTTTTTTTACAATCATTGTTTGCTTTTGTTTTTTCCTGGGACTTATTTTGTCTATATTGCTTTTTTGTCTGCGTGTAGATATTTTCTATGCCTCATTTGTTTGAAAGCTCATTTGTATATGTTTCAATTTATTAGATGTGTATGATTATTAGCTCGGCACAATATTGTTTTTCACATTTTCCAGATATTTAGTTATATCCTTAGTGCTTGGTAGCTCTTATTTTCACATTACACTTACTGGCGCTGATCACCTTATTGTTTATTTTTAATGTCATAAATCTGCCTGGGAATCTCTGGCTGTCTGCAGTCACCGCATAAGCACAGTACAGCCCTAGGCCTCATTTTCTCTGGGTCTATATGTCCGGCTGTGGATTCCTGCAGCAGAAATCAGTGGATTCTTCTGGCTGGAATCTCAGGTGGTCCCAGACAACTGCGACCGCTCAGGCTGTCAGGAGTCCGACACTATTTGCATGTATCCGCATATCCAGTGGTTACCTGCGGCTAGGGACAGATGTCCAATTCTTGCCACAGGAATCAGCAGCTGGACATAAAGGCCCAGTGTGAATGAGGATTTAATTGCCAGGCAGTGATTGCAGATTTACATAGCAATTACAATTTATTTAGCTTCTGCATAATCAGCCAGTCAGAAGTTGTGTTCAGACATGTCAAGTCTACCAGGAAACTTGGGAGTCACCTGATATTTCGGGCTTTACTAAAGCTCTTGATTTGTTTGCGTTCCAGCACCAGGCACTTCAGGTATGCCAATGATGTGTCAGGCAGAGTGACCCCCCTACCTGGCAGTGTTACTCCACCCGACACATCACCATTGTCAGACACTCAATGAAAAATTCCAGCCCAACGGAAGGCAGAGCAGCGTGGAAGATCAAGTTAGTTAACCGCATCGCTGGGATGGGGTTTTTATTTTGCTCCCCCTCAATAACACCAGCAGTTGGGGCTCATTTAATCCAGTTTACGCCTAGATTAAGCCACCTTTAATCCCGCTGATAGCTATATTATGGCTATTACGGATGTTATGGCTATGTTATGGCGCCTATGCACGAGCCTGCAAGCTAAAACACAGCCGTTGTTAGTGCCAGTGGAATAGTAAGACACAATCATTGGTGTCAGTAGAATCAAGTGAGTTCCAGTTCATTGGTGTCAACAGGATTAAACGATTAAACTAGCATGCATTGCTAGGCCCCGCAATGGCAAACCCCCCCAAGCCCGCTGACTGGCTAGGTCATCAAACATCTATAAGGCTTTGTGACAGCGGCAGTGTCAGCTCCTAACATTACTACCAGAATGTGACAATTGCACTCTCCGCCTCACCCTGTGCATAGATTTTTCAGCTTTCAGGATAATCTAATATAAGCATCAGCAGACTAACAATGATGATCAGTGGGGGCATGTAACCCCATACTTAACCAACAAACTGCTATCACCTGTTTTTACGGTGATAGCTGGTAATATCTGGTAAAGCAAATCTGTCCATTTTGAAACGTCTGTGCCACTCACTGCCACACCTCTTTCAACTGTCAGGAAAATGCTATAAATAAGTGGAACCTGGAAGCCTCCTGGGATATATAGCATTTGCTAGTCAGTGAAAACACTAAAAAGGAAAACATAGTTAGGCATCTGCACGGACTTCAAAATCTGTTGTCACATTACTCACAGTTGAAATGCTGCTCTGTACTGGAGCCCCAGCAGAGAAACAGAAGAGGATCATCCCAACATACCGTGTTTCCCCGAAAATAAGACACTGTCTTATATATTTTTTGGCTCAAAAAAACACACTAGGTCTTATTTTCGGGGTAGGTCTTATTTTCAGGGAAACAGGGTAGAAAAGCAAATTGTTGGTAGAAAAAATAATAATCAAACTTGCAACAGTGGATTTCATGCCTGGAGAGTGACAGAACCCTGTTTGATTAATGTGTACAGTGCCTTCTGAGATGTTGTTTGGTACCCATACCACATATTTGTACAGCCTTTCTTTCCAAAAATGTGCCTGCTCATTCCTGAAGGGGAACCATATTATGCAAGATGACTAGACTACCTTGCAGTGCTGTTAGTCTAGCCCAAGGATAGGTACCCTTACTCATCCTTGGAAATTTCAGATTATGCCTTCCTACTGTTTTTAACATCTTCCAAAGGTTTTATGAAAGCTGTTTGTGGAAAAAAAGAGTGCACTTATCCTTTAGCCCCCTTAAGGTGAGCTCACCAATCCCTCCGTATGCACAGGTAAAAACTTACTAAGTTCTGACAGACCCAGCCTTGGTTGGAAAATGCGTTGGCTCCTTGATGCTTTTATATCTCTATCAATAAAGTGATTTTGGACTTCTTTTTGTTGGGTGGTACCTTTGTTGTTTGCTTTCCCTGATAATGCGCACACACTCTCCCTCACATAGCTTTAGACACTGGAAGCTTCACAGGCAGCAGCCGGTTACCTTGGTGATATCAGGCCAAGTACAGGGCCTACTACAGAAATCCTAAAAGTGTCAGAGTGTGGAAAAAAACTACAGAACTATTGCTGACAAAAGGCATAATTAATTTCTATAGCCAGAGCAGAATCAGAAAATGTTAATTTCAAACATTATATGTATATGAGCAGTCTAAAAAGTGAACCTTGATGACTGTGTCCAATAAGGGTGGCTTCATGGTGACCTTTTTACATATGTGTATGCAATTACAATTTGGGTCTTTCATCCTCCCAAAATCACCTATTCATCAAAAAAGTTGTCCAGGCTGTGGTCCCTCCCAAATCTGGTAAATTCCTTCCTGGAAGGCAACTGAGGAAAACTAGCATTAGATTTAGTGGTTTATATGGTTTTCAAATGTCCTAGTTCTTTTGATTAAACGTTCATTGGCCTTGTGGACCTCCTTTAAAGTCTTTCTCTCTTATTTGCTTTAGGGCTTATTCACACCACTTACAATGCGTTCCAGCGCAGTTAACTGCTGGAACACACTGTATCGCGTACTAAACTCCCTCCTGCGTTCTGGGGCGGAGGGGGCACGGAGGTGCATTCAAGTCAATGGTACATATGGCACATGAATGCCTGCGTTCCGGTCCAGTGTGATCAGAAAAAATAGTGCATGCAGCATTTTTTCCGATCACACTGGACCGGACCACAGGCATTGTTGTGCCACGCGTTCTGGTGTGGGCAATCGCACTGCCGGCAGGGTGGTGTAGCTGTAGTGTTATTGACCTGAATGCACCACCACGCCCACTCCCACCCCAGAAGGCAAGAGGGAGTTTAGTATGCGATACAGTGCGGTCCAGCAGCTATTTGTGCTGGAACTCACTGTTAGTGATGTGCACAAGCCCTTAAAGCGGAACTTAAAGGAGAACTATGGGGTTAAGTCTTTTCCCCATAGTTCTCCTTAGGGTAACGGGAGGACACAAACTAGCGTCCTCCCGTCACCCTAGGCTCAGTATACCGCGAGCTGTAGCTCGCGGTATACTGAGACGCCGCAGTATAACTCGAGCAGCTGCTCGCGTTATACTGAGACACCGCAGCTGAAGCGGATCCCGGGGAATCCAGCCCCTCCCCTGTCACAGCAGAGGGCTGTGACAGGATCGAGAGGTGAGCGAACGCCGGTATGTGTT